AGACCTGTGGCTGCAACCCGGAGCAAAGCAACAAACCATTGCGTAGCTAACTAGTAGCGCTAGCTTTAGCTAACGTTAGCTAACGAAACGAACTGCCGAGTAAAATTGGAAAACACTGGTAATTAATTCTATAATTTGTAAAACTACGGTGTTAAAAACGACAATTTCAAAAATACAGATTCTAATGGTCAGATATAGATATACAGATACTAAAGATAGGCAGGTACTTGCTTTCAAGCAGAACACAGGGGAAAACAAATTTAGCGGGAGTGTTTACGTGTTCGGCGTAATGACGTACAACGGCCTCGACAATTTCTGTAGTCCTATTCAGCCATTCGGTAACAACCATCGTTTTTCAGACACGTAAACTCTTCAAAGATCCCCAGTGGGGTCACTGCTGATGTATTTAATGTCGTAGAACAAAACGTGATTTATCTCTTAAATTTGTGCTATTTTCCAAAACCCTATGGAAAAAATGCATTGCTTTTTGAGGAAGGAACCGGAAGTGCTAAAAATGCTAACTTACTTCCGGGTTTTACGACGCGTCACTGCGGTTCTCTATGAGGAATGGCTCAAATGCATGATCTGTTTGGTATTTTGAAAAATAAAAAGTATAAATATGCCTTATATAGGTATGGTCCTACACTATATTATTCAAATATAGCATGATAGGTCCACTTTAAAGCATGTAAACATGTCGCAGTAGAGACAAAAAATACAAATATGAACCTGAACAAGAGCGTTATCTGTCCTCTTTCATATGATATAACTTTATCTATGACATTTCATATTTGAGAGGCAAATAAAATTCATTTTCTGCCATTTTTGCATGAAAACTTACCTAAAATCAAGATAGTTGGTGAATATATTTCTGCTGATAGACTAATTGACAAGTTAGCTAGTAGCCAAATGATAGAAAAACACTTTTGGAGCTGGAAATAACATTGTAAATATGAGAGTTGGTATTATTCTGTTTGTCAGTGTAAAAACAATTACCACAAGGTCTGACTACTCTTCTATTGTTTTTCCTGTTGCCTGTCGCCTGGGTAAAACATTACATGTTCAAATTAACGACCAATACATACGTCACAGTGAGCAGCAGGTGATACAAATATTAAACTGTACTATTGTAATGTAATAGGCATGTCACTGTTCAGCCTGTGCTGTGATCTCTTTCCCTCCCACTGTTTAATAGAACATATAATGACATGTATCTCACACAATAGAGACCGTGTGCAGGCTGCAGCATGTGACTTTAATATACTGAGAATCAAGGTACATTTGGAGCAGTCTAATGTTAATGAAGTGTTATTAAAATGTGTGTTGTAACCTGAAGACTACGTGTTTTGTTCGATGTCTGCTTGATTCTTGAGACTTTTTTCTCCGCTTTCTATTCAAAGGGAAGCTATTTAACTGTAATTAACTTATTATCATTATTATTATATATCATTATTATTATCATCATTATTAACTCTATTATCAGGTCTAGGCATTAAGCTCAAGTTCCTCCTACTATATATCAAACTTATACTACAGAGTTCAAAAGCAAATCACTTTCATAGCACTTTATTCATCCGCCCGATTAAACCTTACGAGTTACTTAGAAAATCTGGACTTTTGCAGACAAAACATAAAATATTTAAAAAACAGCTGGAATGATTACTCACTGAAATTATTTACAGATTTAAATAGTTTTAATCCTTTTTTATAAGAAATATATATGTTTAGTTACTTTAAGTACTTTTTTGTGATTATTTGTACATACATTTACTTAAGTCACATTAAATGCAGTTTAAAGTTATACTTGAACCAGAGTATTTGCACAGTGTGTTATTAGTATATGATCTGAATGCTTTCTCCACCACTGGAGGGTGAACATGAAGTTTATGATTGATAACATGTTCTTTCTTATGAGTTATTTCTAAGAAAATGAAAGAAATATGGTCTGTTCTCTCCGGGCAATGTTTTTAGATTCCATTAATGTCATCTTATCTTCTTATCTTGGTTCACGGCTCTGTCTTGCTGGCAGGAGCTTTACGAAACATGACAGAACAGGTAGAACCGCAAAGTCATGATGTACTTGTGGTTTTCACATCTCTCATCTCATTGGATGACTGGCACTCTAATGATTTAATTGTTAAATAAGGGAGGGATTGCTTTTGTTAATGACTTCATTTTTTTAATATATAATCAAGTCAAACTCAAACATGTAAAACGTTTTCTTCTTTCATGGTATGCAGTGGTGTTAATACATGTACTCAAGTACTGTACTTAAGTACCATTTTGAGGTATTTTGACTTGAGTATTAACATTTTTATTTATATTTATAATCCACTATAATTCAAAGGCAAATATACATTTACTCCACTACATATTTAGTTGCAGATATAGGCTATTGATATCTATCAATAATCTATACCATACAATATGATCAACACTTAAATGAGACACCAATAAATTACATCTGGATTAAATGTGCATGCTACCAAGCAGTAAATTCATTCATTAAATTGTGTTCCTTTACCAGCTTGATAAACAAATCAATAATTATAATCAAAAAATATGATTATGAAATGTACCAATCTAATGAGTACTTTTACTATTGATACTTTAAATATATTTAGATGCCAATACTTTTACTTGAATGACATTTTGAATACAGGACTTTTACTTCCAACAGAGTATTCCTACACTTTGGTATTTCTACTTTTATTTAAGTACAAGATCTGAGTACTTTCACCTCTGATGGTATGTTTTGATATCTGTACATGGCACAGGCAAAGGTGCGCATGCATGTGTGTGGGTGTTTTGCTGACAGGGTCACACCTGTCGGGCGGTGCCTTCAGCGGGGTGTCACTCACTCTGCCTCTCGCTCTCTCTCTGCCCCGTCAAGTCTTTCGTTTGGAAGTGGGGATGACAATGGCCGAGTGTTAACGCACCATGGCCGCTCAAAGGAATCTGGGGGAACTACGTGAAGTTATGTGCAACAAGTCTGGAGATTATCTACTCAGCTGTTTAGACCACAGAAGGGAACTTTTATGCAACACGTTTGGAGAAGTTTGGAAGAGGAACTAAACTGGATTTGTAGTGTTTGTTTTTGAGACATGGCTCTGTCCCAGGTACAGTGCCTGGACGATAACCACGTGAACCTCCGGACCACCGAGTCCAAACCGGAGTTTTTGTACAGCGAGGACCAGCGGGTCGCGCTCGAGGCTTTTCTTCGAGATGGTCGCGAGGCGTTTGTTAAGTACTTGGAGGCTCGCACCTTGCGCGGCTTTCTGTCGGACCTGGAGTTGGACTCTCTCGCGGAAACGGTGGAGCCCTATGACCCGGGCACGGACATCTTCCCGGAGGACGGCGGGGACGACCAGTCCCCGCTGTCTCTGCACTACTGGCCCGAGTTGTCGGATAGGTCCATCCCGCAGATGGACCTGGGTTGGCCGGACTGCGCTTCTTACCGGGGGGTCACGCGCACAGCCGTGTACACGCAGCCACCCCTGGATGATCAGGCTCACATCAAGGAGGTCGTCAGGAAAATGATTGCGCAGGCGCAAAAGGTATGTTGGGCCACTTATAAAGAAGTAGACAAAATAATATACCATTTAATACAATACAATTCAGCTTTATTTGTTAAGAACTTTAAAACCTCCAGACCAACGTGCTTTATGGAGAAAGAAAGAAAGAAAGAAGGAAGGCAGAATAGGTATATTTAAGCATTGTCCTGTCTGTTTGTGCCTTAATTTTTGCTTTCAAATAAAAGTAAACTACTAAAAATGAAAGTTAACACTCTCCGGATAGAGGTCCAAAGCTATATAGGCTACAAATATTTAAAGCATATTCATTTGTGGTTGTCTTCCCTTGGGTTATTGGGAAATATGAAACTGTTTAGTTTAAGATCTTTAGTATTTACATATAGGCTTGGCAATATGTGCCTCTCTATATGTGTTTATTTGTGCTCTTATTTGTTGCTTATGTTGGCTGACACTCTGACTTGCTGTACCCTTTAAAAAATAACTTTAACATTGACATAGTAAATGGCTGTGCAATAAGAAACACCGCTGTGTCAAATATTTCCTTTATGGTTGATCTATTTTGTAGTATTTTCTGCAGTGTATTTCAGGTGTACTACTCAGAGGGTACACCAGAGAAAATATGTAGAAACAAATGCATGTTAGATATTAAAGATTTTTGTCAAAAGGGATTTTGTTTTACACTTATTTCTCTGACCTGCTGTACTCATTCAAAAGATAAACTGTAACGTTGAACTTGTGTTAACACGTGCAGCAATGACATCAGTCTGTGTGAGGTCAGAGTACAGACTGATGACAACATGAGACAGTGAAGAGTAAAGTGCAACTTGATTAAGCTGCTTTATCAGGGACTAAAAGAAGAACCACCACTGTAACAAGGGAGCAAGATTATGTTGGATATTTGCATGTGCTTTTTTGCGTAGGTTGATGATGCATATGAGTGTGCTTTTCTGTCTGTCTAGCAGCTGACTCATCTGAAGGCACAAGTTTAATGTGACATGTTTTATTTCATGGCAGCTGTTCTCAGAGACATGTGTCTCTCGAATGCACCAACTGATGGGAACTGAAAAGCTTCTGCAGGCTAAATTAACATAAACGGAGAGCTGTGAGAACCTGCACAACTTCCGCTTAAATTATACCTTAAAGGAAACAAAGTCGCTGAGAGGCTGAGGCCGGGCCTGTTTGATGTTGTATGACACGCTAAAAAAAGTACTTGCTGAGATCAAAAGCTCTGTTTCATAGTATTGTAGTTTAATGTCAAAAAACTCGGTGATCAGACATATACATAGTTATAATAATGAAAGCAATCGTAAATCTTGCGGTCAACAAAAAAGTACAACGGCCCTGTGTCACCCTCTCTTCCACACACACACCTCACGCAGGGGAACAGGATTACAATGAGTGCCGCCCATATCCATGTGACCCAAGCCAACCAATAAATAGTGATCAAACAAATATCTTATATTAAAACATAAAGGATTACTAAACACGTTTCATGGCTCCTACATATGGGTTCTCCTGCTCGTCTGGCTTTGGACATCAGTCACATTTTGTCCTTTTTGTCTTTACCCCAACTTCATGAGAATATAACTGAACATATTCTCTTCTACCTTTCACACCCTGTGAACTTGCAGTGAGATATCGGGAGGATACGACTTATCACTACTGATACATGAGAGCAAGATCACTTGATAGACTGTATTGTCTGCACACCATCATATCGGCAGTCACAAAAACAACTGCAGTTTCACATTAATCCTCTGGGATCATCAACCACAAAAGTCATGCATTTGCTGTTACAAAATTCTGTGAAAACTGATATTCATAGTTTGATTAAGATATGTACTTGGCTAAAATTATCTTTAATAGCTCAATCAATACCACTCAAACATATTTTGGCAACATTTATGATATTATTTTTATGCCGACAATCGTTTTTAATTTTAATAACACACACCCACACACACGTCTTGTAGACCCTCCAAAATGCATGTTGGTTATTTCTCTGTATGATGTCTCATGTGTGGTTCCCACCGATGCCGTTTCATAACAAGGTCAATGGTTGCAAGCCAATGGTATAATGACGTTGGTATCACCTGGTAACTCTCCATCATCATTGACCAAGTCTTACAGAGATGCGATTTGGAATTGAAAAATATGACAAAAATATGGCTGGCTTTGAGCATATCCGCTTGGCTTCACTCTGGTACCAATCTGAAAAGCTTAGTGACATAAAAGAGAAACCATTCCAGATTGAACACTGGTCCAGTCAGCTGAAGGACAGCAACGCCAAGGGAGCCACTTTTCTCTTTGACTGGTAATCTAAATCTAAAGTGACATTCTCCAAGTTCTTGTTAGTTATTTGTAAGCAGTGGGAGAGGGAGAGAGATATAGTAATCAGATGTTGTGATGTATTTACTCGTGTGATTGCTTCTTAATTTAACTTTTGAAACGTTTTGGGTGTTGGACAAAAACAGGATTTCTGATTCTCAGTCACTGGTTCTCGTAAGACTGCAATGCTGATGACACCAAGCTATTTTTCTTTGCCCTTGCTCTGTCGATCTTCAACTGGATAAGACTGAGTAGTGCTCCCTCAGGGATAAGATCTGCAAGTTGAAGTGCAGTTCATTTATCTACTATCGCTAATTCTAGCACTGCTACTTTAAATAGTATGGGTTTTTAGCAGTTCTTTTTTTACAAAACAAAAGTTTACAGATATACATACAAACATCTATTTTAATCGTTTGGACTTTATGTATAATCTATATTTTTCTGTCAAATAATGGATAATCTTACCTCTTCGTGAAAAGTTTAAAAGGAAAAAATGTCATCGTTAATTGGTATCAACTTATTAATATCCGAAATGTGACATGGCATATTATTAAAGGTTACTAGTAACTTAAAGAGCCTGTGACACGAACCCAACAACTGTTGTGCAATGAAATAGTGGGCTACTAGTAATCTCGAACCGTCAGTTTAAAAAAGAAAAAGCGATACCGTTCCGATAAATATCAATAATTTCGAACATCGCGGGAAAATTCCTTCGACTCATTTTGAGTTTTGGGGGAAGCCGGAAGTGACGTCAATGCGGGAACGCTTCACTGTGCGGCGAGAGAGCCAAACACGGACAAAGTGTGTTGTCATGCGTAGAAATGGTGAATTACTGAGTTTAGGCACGTTAATAACGTTTTAATGAAGTTGATTACAGTATATTCATATTTGTCAATGCTTTCATGTCAATTCGGCGAACATAAACATAAATGATCGTGGTGAAGATGATGATTAAATAAACATAAATGATCGTGGTGAAGATGATGATTAAATTAGGATGATATAAAAACAAATCGATTATTTTTGTAAACTCAAGTGGATGAAACTACATTTATTAGTGCTTTCATGTCAATTCGGCGAACATATGATACATTAAATGATCGTGAGGATGATGATTTAAAAATCTTTTGTTTGAGCCGGTCTGCATTTCCTGATGAGAAAACAAACCTTAGCTTTTTGTAGTTGCAGTCAGTGGTGTAGTGGGCGTTGGACGCGGCGGTACGCCGTACCCCCACTTATTTGAAGCATGATTTCTTTTTTTAATAGTCTAATACATCTAAAATCATTGCCAGTGTTATCAGTTGCAAGTGTGCGTTTGTTGTAATAATGACGAAAACATAATAGGCAGATTTCACAGTAATTATAATAAAAACGTAGCTCAAGCATTTATGCAACTTGATTTGAAGCGTGTGTGTGTGAGGGGCAGAACTGTGTGTGTACGGTGACCAGGTGTCCCGCACTGTGCGGGACTGCACACACAGCATTTTTATTATTTGTCCCGCGTCCCACACATTGAGACTATGTCCCGCATTTCAGTGATAGTCGCGCAGAAAGGCCGGATCGGTTCGCTGACAGCCGGCACCGCCCTTTATTATTATATTGTCTAAACGGCATCATGTAAGTTGCGCTGACAGGCGACACAGAGGTCCCCAGGCCCCCCCCGGCTCCGTGACCGTATGATCGCCCATATTGACGCACCTAATTCCTAAACTTCTAACAGATACAAAATAAACCGATCCTTCAGCCTCATATGAGCTCTCAGACACGTTCAAAATTAAACTGTCATCGCTGTCTGAGCTTGCTGCTGTNCGACATTTCAAAATACAGATTCTAATGGTCGATATTGATTATACCAAGACTAAAGGTACTTGCTTTCAAAGGGCCAGACACAGGAAACAAACTTAACGTTTACGTTTCGAGCGTAATGGACGTACAACGGCCTCGACAATTTCTGTAGTCCTATTCCATCCACTCGGTAACAACCATCGTTTTTCCGACACCGTAAACTCTTCAAAATCCCCCCAGTAGGGTCACTGTGATTATTTAATGTCCGTAGAACAAAAAAGTGATTTATCTCTTAAAATTTGTGCCAACACAGACCCTTATTTCGAGCTGTTTTCCCAAAACCTAATGGAAAAAATGCATTGCTTTTTGAGGAAGACCGGAAGTGCTTAAAACTGCTACTTTACTTCGGTTTTACGACGCGCCACTGCGGTCTTATTATCTCAAGCTTATTTTCATTCGTTGTAGGTATTTGATAGTATGATTTAATTTTGTAATTAATGTATTCATCAGCCTCAAACTGGATGGCACTTGTCCCTATAGCCTGTTTTAAATTGAAGTTGTCTGAGGTCCTTACATCAGCTGCTCTTGCAGTTAATAATAGTGTACCTAAAGAGCCTGTGGACAGCATCCCAACAACTGTTGTGGCAATGAAATATTGGCTACTAGTCATCTCGAACCGTTAGTTAAAAAAGAAAGGTCATTTTTGATAGTTTTGGGGGAAGCGGGAAGCTAACGTCACTGTGCGGCGAGAGAGCCAAACACGGACAAAGTGTGTTGTCATGCGTATAAATGGTGAATTACTGAGTTTAGGCACGTTAATAACGTTTTAATGAAGTTGACTACAGTATATTCATATTTGTCAGTGCTTTCATGTCAATTCGGCGAACATAAACATAAATGATCGTGGTGAAGATGATGATTAAATTAGGATTAAAAATCGGTAGTGAGAGCTGCTGAATTTCCTCCCGTCGGATGTGATATAAAAACAAATCGATTATTTTTGTAAACTCAAGTGGATGAAACTACATTTATTAGTGCTTTCATGTCAATTCGGCGAACATATGATACATTAAATGATCGTGAGGATGATGATTTAAAAATCTTTAGTTTGAGCCGGTCTGCATTTCCTGATGAGAAAACAAACCTTAGCTTTTTGTAGTTGCAGTCAGTGGTGTAGTGGGCGTTGGACACTTATTTGAAGCATGATTTCTTTTTTTAATAGTCTAATACATCTAAAATCATTGCCAGTGTTATCAGTTGCAAGTGTGTGTTTGTTGTAATAATGACGAAAACATAATAGGCAGATTTCACAGTAATTATAATAAAAACGTAGCTCAAGCATTTATGCAACTTGATTTGAAGCGTGTGTGTGTGAGGGGCAGAACTGTGTGTGTAGGGTGACCAGGTGTCCCGCACTGTGCGGGACTGCACACACAGCATTTTTATTATTTGTCCCGCGTCCCACACATTGAGACTATGTCCCGCGTTTGAGTGATAGTCGCGCAGAAAGGCCGGATCGGTTCGCTGACAGCCGGCACCGCCCTTTATTATTATATTGTCTAAACGGCATCATGTAAGTTGCGCTGACAGGCGACACAGAGGTCCCCAAGACCCCCCCCCGTTGACAGTTCACGAGCGCGTCCATAGTGTCTCCCGTCCACCCACCAACCCCGTCCACCCAGTAAAAACATCCCCACTACACCACTGGTTGTAGTAGTACACCAACATGGATTAAACGTGTGTTTTTTTTTACCACAATGTTGGGGAAATTAATGGATAAAATGCACGGATTATTATTATTATTATTATTATTATTCCCACTCCGATCGGGACACTAGGTCCACCGTTTCCCCGCAGCGAGGCTCCCCCCGTTGACAGTTTACGTGGGCTGGGCTGGGTGCAGTGGCGGACTGGCCATCGGGACGAATCCCGATGGGCCGGTACCGAAGTGGGCCGGTCGGATAAGTCACTAGCACATCCCCCACTCCCCCCGTTGACAATTTACTAGTGGTACCGAAGTGGGCCGGTCGAGAGTCCCGGGCTGATTTTTAGTCCCAGTCCACCACTGGCTACATGACCGTATGATCGCCCATATTGACGCACCTAATTCCTAAACTTCTAACAGAAGTTAAACCGAATAACAAAATAAACCGATCCTTCAGCCTCATATGAGCTCTCAGACACGTTCAAAATTAAACTGTCATCGCTGTCTGAGCTTGCTGCTGTGTGCCCCATCGTGCGTTTACATGCAGATGCTGGGATCCTGAACGGTGCAGCTGGGAGCGCTGTGCCCGCAATGACG